GGGGGGGGGGGGGGGGGTCTCAGTGGCTCCAGGGTTTACCATGGAAGTCAAAGAGTGTGATCACATCCCTCAGCCGACGGAGCCTGGAGCAGTGGCATAGAAGTCTGGATAATTAGTGGGGCTCCTTATTCTAGATATGGGTAGTTCTCTAAATTAGGTTCCCTTTCTAGATCCCCATACGGCACCCTGATAGAAAGGACCCTGAAAGGGACCCTAATTTGGAGAACTACCCATATGCTACAATGATGTACCCCGAAACCCCTACTCCAACGACTCAAGTCCTCTCTATCAGCTGGGGGACGACCGAACCGGTGCAGTGCTCTTAAGGCTCCTAAACTGAGGGGTACACTTGCTAAAAGAGCTCTGGGATACTGCTGCTTAAGGCCTATGCCTGGGTACCTTTTCGAGAAGGCCCGCTGCTGCTTCCTAAGTAGCCTGAACGGTTTAGGGTTTAGGGTTTAGGGTTTAGGGAACGCCATGCCCTTAGCCCTAAGTCCCTTACACGAAACAGCCAACCCAACACATGCACCAAATCCTAAAGTCAAGGCCCACAGCCCCCAAGCCTGAACATTGAACCCCGCACCCCGGAAAACACCAACAGTAAAATTCGCAGCACCTTGGGCTATCGTGTTTCAGACTCACCCCAGAACTAACTTCCTGAGATCATCGCGGACATTAAGATGACGGAGCCGAAGATAATGGCCTTTGCTTTGCTTAGCGCCGCTGCAGGCTTTGCGATTTAGGGTTACATGTCGTTCTAGGGTTTGGGAAGCAGGTAATTATGTGAATCCAGAAGTCAATTGGATGAGGTGCGAAACGGATCGAATCTTGCTTCTAGCTGAACCCGATAATGTAGCCCTTTCTTATGGCTACCTTGTTTCCGGTTTCCTCATTATCTGATCCTGACCGTACAAGGAAAGGTACGACATCGTGGAACCCGGGAAGGGGGGGTCTTGGAACATGACGATGCATCCGCAGCAGCAGCGCCGCGAGGCAAAGCAGGAGACGGTTTGTGCATAGTCTTGTGGGAAATGTCTGCCCTCGTATGCTTGAGCACCCCCCTAAAACCCTAAACCCTAAACCCTAAACCCTAAAACCCTAAACCCCAAAACCCTAAAACCCTAAAGCCTAACCCCCCCCCTAAACCCTAAACCACAAGCCCTAACTAACCACCTCAGCCTAGGCCCCCAAACAGCCTGCAGCAAGGCCATGCCCAGACCACCGGGAGGTTAGGGTTTAGGGTTTAGGGTTTAGGGTTTAGGGTTTAGGGTTTAGGGTTTAGGTTTTAGGGTTTAGGGTTTAGGATTTAGGGTTTAGGGTTTAGGGTTTAGGAATCCAAAAAGTAGATCCCTTAAGGGGGTTCCTATGAAGTACTACTTCAGTAGTATAGGGTCCCCAAATTAGGGGTTCTACTTTCTAGATCCTTCCGGGGGTCTGGGTGCATCTAAGGCTTCGCACAGAGCTCAAGCCAAGTGCTTTAGGGGACTTTATAGTTCAGGGGTTCCATGGTTGAGAGGATTATTTAGGGTTTAGGGTTTAGGATTCAGGGGTTCATGGTTGAGGGGATTATTTAGGGTTCAGGGTTTAGGATTCAGGGGCTTAGGAAAGTTTAGAGTTGAGGGGAATAGGGGTTCGGGGTATAGTTTAGGAACACCTGCAGGTTGTTGGAGGACGTGGCCTCGGATTTCCATGCAAGTCCAAAGGAAGCTAATAATAGGGGCCTTCATCCAGCAAGAAACAGCAATAATATAGCATGCAGTATACTTGGGACGAGGAGCCTTCAGGAATGATACCGACACGCAGTGTGTCTGTATAGGTATATATATATATAAAAATACAAATGCATACATGTAACATGCATGTATTTATGTATATATGTATAATACTGTATTCATACAGAAGAATCCCCGAAATAGTGTTGGTACTTATTTCGGCCCCTGTATTATCTCTCTACACCCTAAACCTAAACCCTAAACCCCTAACCCTAACCCCAAACCCTCAACCCTAAAACCTAAGCTTCCTAAGCCCTGAACCCCTAAACCCTAAACCCCTAACCCTAGCCCCTAACCCTAAACTCTAGGTTCTTCACCCTACACCCTAAACCCTAAACCCCGAACCCTAAACCCAAAACCCTTAACGAGCTCTGAACGGCCCAGCTGAGCCCTACATCCTGTCCAAGGCCCAAGCCTTGACCGAGGAATAAAGCCCAGTGATGAGCCTGAGTTACAGGAAACTACAGGTTGGGAGTTTAGGGTTTAGGGTCTAGGGTTAAAGGAAACTACAGGTAGGGAGTTTAGGGTTTAGGGTTAAAGGAAACTACAGGTAGGGAGTTTAGGGTTTTGGGTCGAGGGTTTAGGGTTTAGGGTGGGGAGTTTAGGGTATATAGGGCTTCTATAAGGCTTCCAAAAGGTATATAAATTATATAGACCTTCTATAAGGCTCCTATAACGGTAACTACCCACCTGAAAATGTCATAGACTGAGGGTAGCTTCTTTAAGGATTACGGGTAGGGTTTCGGGTTTCGGGTTTAGGGTTTAGAGCCTTTAGAGCTGTTTTGGGTTTAGGGTCTTTATTTATAAAAGTAGGGTTTAGAGCTGTTTGGGGTTTAGGGTTCAGAGATGTTTACGGCCCTGGGTGGACAACCATCCAAAACCTAGCACCGTCTTAGGGCTACGTAGTCCCACCGGCGTTGATGCAGGGCCAATCTCTCTAGCCTTGTAATCAGGACGAGACGGGATGCATAATTCCTAAACCTAAACTCTAAACCCTAAACCTGGGTTCATCTACTGGGAGAAGCGAGCGGGTGTCAGGCTAAGCTGCTTAGAATCACGAGACTGACCATGAAACGAACCATCGAGACGTCGAAGCTGCGTGTGTAGCAGTCATGGCCAGAGAATCCGATCACGACATGACTACGCAGCTTTCACCACATACGAGAGGAGGGTCCTTCGATCATCATTTTCCAACCCTAGTTGCGACATCTGCCTGACCACAGACTCTGTCTAGATGAGCTCTTTATATACGTACGTCCGTTGAAATTTAGTGTATTTGGGCTCCAGG